TTTTAAGACCAAGTTTTGTTTGTTCGAAGTAGTTAGGTCATGTTTATGTTCCACACAGTAGTGCTATTCCTGCCGCATACTTGACAAAATATAACTACTAGCTCTATAATAATAAAAAGCAACAATCCTAAGTAGAGAGTAAAAAATTTAGGTGAATGGAAGAATGACCTTCACCTTGGTCATGCACTTATGGTGTCTAAACATATTTGCCTTTTACTCATAGTCAGTAGGAGCAAAAAGTATCAGTGTTGTGCATAACACAATTCAAGTCAACATTTCTATAAATGTGCTACAAAAATAATATGTTTAAAGATTCATTCCCCTAAGCAAAATATCTTGAACAATCACAAAATTACATAGTATTTAAAATTTCTGAAAATGATTGTTTGTTGTGGAGAATATTTATATAAATTGTTACTGATGTGAACATATACTTTGAAACCTGAAATAGATTTTTTTCAAGGAGCAATAAAAATATAATCTATCTATTTGGTTAAAACACCCAAATCGCTTTCCAAAAAAGGGCAAGGGTGTTACCCAAATTCATGTCAGTTACATATTTAATATGTAGTAAGTCATGATTGCCTAGTCAATAACTTTGAGACAGAATAAAATACTAACTTCAAACTCATAATTCTATAAATTATAAGGTCTTTCAGTGTTTTGAAATTTTAAAGAGAGTGGCTTGTAAAACCCACTTATGCCACAAATATTGATTTGGCACCCATATTAGGCACTGAGGATAAATACCAGCCCCCAAACAGGCGTGGTTCTTTCTATACCGTACATAGATAGCATTGTGGTGAATTTAGCTGTACAAAGTTAGAAGATAATAGAACCTGAGGTTTTAGAAATAGTATATTATTACTATCAAAAGTAAAGTGATTTTATAGTTAGGATTTTTCCCCTGGATAATTCCACTGAATTGGAAGTATTCAATATCTTCCTGATTACTGAGACAAAGGGGAGGTATAATGCTATTTTTAAGGCCATACAACACACACATACAATCATACACAGTTATATGCACAGAAACATGTAATGTGTTCTTAGCATGTCAGTGCTCCAAAATTCAGTCCCCAACACAGACAGGAAGACCTCTAGCCTTCACTGGTCACCTGTGAAGAGTGTGTGCACCTCTGTGTGCACCTGTGGGAGAGTGAGTGTGGACAGTGTGGCAGGCGCAGGAAGGACGGGCTGTAGAAGAGGCTGTGCAGGGGCCGTGGCTTCCTGGCTCTGCTGTGTGCTGCTGACCTGGGTGCTCTGTTAATTTGGTCAATTCCCAGAAGCTAGATTCCCTCTCATTAACTTGCTTTGTGACTGTTGTGTGGCCACAGCTCACTAAATCCCAGAGCATTTCTGAGGGCCTCCTGGACGCTGAGCCAGCCAGGACCGCTGTGTGTCAGTGATGGAGACACTTGAACTTTGTGTACGTGCTTCTCGTCTGTGAGGCTCATGAAAGGCAGGTCCCCTGGAAACGGGAGACAGTGACTGCTGTTGACCTCTGGGAGACTGCAGGCATCTCAAGCTGTGTTGCGCTGACTGCTCAGGCATAGGGGTGAGGGATGTGCTGTGCTGGCTGCCCAGGCGTAGGGGTGAGGGCTGCTCAAGTGTAGGAGGGTGAGGGCTGCAGGTGCTGGCTGCTCAGGCGTAGGGGTGAGGGCTGCAGGTGCTGGCTGCTCAGGCTTAGGGGTGAGGGCTGCAGGTGCTGGCTGCTCAGGCGTAGGAGTGCTGCACGGTGCTGTGCTTGGAAACCCTGGTGGACGCAGTGGTTACAGTGCAACCAGAATGACCAGACTCCTCGGAGCTGAAACTGGGCGGAGGGCCAGGGATTCCAGCTCCCGTAACCACAGTCCTTCTGGCCGTCACGGCCGTTTCAGAGGCCACCGGGGCTCTGGACTGCAGGGTGGAAGCGGGTGTCAGCACCCTCTCAGTCACGGTCACGCTCCGCCCGCCTGCTGTGCTGGCCTGGGCCTGAGTGGACTGCACGCCCGAGCTGGGAGCCAGGAAGCTCTCTCGCTCCCTTACCATCATGTACTGTCCGTCTGGAAGGTGCGCGGTGCCTTCCAGGGCCCCCGACAGGCCCCCACTGGGCTGTATGAGCCTCTCCGTGACCGTGATGTTGCCTTCATTAGCATAGTGCTGATGAGCGTAGTGCTGATGAGCACAGCGCTGATCCACCGCGGCAGAGGCTGGCGCGTACACCCGCTCCGTCACTATGAGGCCCTGAGGCTGCCGGGGACCCAGGACCACCATGGGGGGCGGCCCAGTGGGGCCCGTGGCAAAGGACGTTTCGGTCACGATGACATTTCCGGCTGCCAGTGGGTCAGGGAGCTGCATGGCTACCTGCTGGCCCTGCTTAGAGGACACAACCCTCTCGGTGACTGTTTCCCGAGTTATTTCCTCGGCACTGGCTTCGCGCACACGTGTGGGAACTTGCACGCTCCCAGCCGAGGAGAAGGAACTCTCTGAATGGACCCTCGTTTGCTCGGAGAGGGCGTGGGAAGCGGTTTCTCTCACGGGTGCCGGCCTCTGCTCAACTTCCAGGCCCATATCTATTTTTCGGCCCAAGCACACTTCAGCCAGCGTCCTGAATTTCAGTCCTAAGTCATCCAGGAAGTGGTCATCCAGCTCTCCTTCGATAAAACTGCAACAGCCAATGGAGCCGTGGAGCGACTCGGTGTCCTCCTGAGAATACAGCAGGAGGCAGTCTTTGCCTACGAGACTGTCCTCTTCCTCATTGTAACAGGCGGCTTTCTAAAAAGGAAATGAAAACAGGCACAGAATCAGTGACACCACCTCATTTAAGGACAAGACTATATTCCTGCCCCAAATCCGTAACTGGAGCGAATTGCAAGGAAACATTAGAGACCCACACTGAAGGACATCCGACAACACATTGGCCCCTATTCTTAAAAAATATCAGTATTGTGAGCCCAGTCGCCATGGCTCAGTGATTGAGTTGACCCACGAACCAGGTGGTCATGGTCCAGTTCCCAGTCAGGGCACCTGCCAGGGTTTCGGGCTCGATCCCCAGTAGGGGGTGTGCAGGAGGCAGCTGATCAATGATTCTTTCATCATTGATGTTTCTATCTCTCTATCCCTCTCCTTCCCTCTCTGAAATCAATAAAAAATATATATTAAAAAGTAAAAAAAAAATATTAAGAAAAAAAACCGTGGGGTCATAGGTGATCACTACTTAAATCAGCTGACGGACTGGTTCAATGGGTTGCATCTCTCTTCCCTCGTTACCTGTCTGCAATCTCTTTCAAAAAAGAAATAACAAAGTCCCATCCAGATCCAAGGCAATAACTAGCCTAATCATATCACATTCACATATACACAGTTTTTCTCCCAAACCTACAACCCAACCCTTACCTCAGTGAAATAGCTTCCTAGGAATTCCTCACTCATTGCACCAGCAGCCGCACGAGCTCCAGCCATGTCTCTGTAGATCCCTGTGGCCCTGGTGGTCCTGACGGTTTCGCCGCCTCGGAGGGCTCCTGCTATCCCTGTGACCTGGGTGGTGCCCCCGGAGAGGTGGCTCCTGTGTTCCTCCCACCGTCCGTCCACCTCGGACATGTCATGCTGCACTCTGGTGAAGGAAGCGGAGCTGCCTCCTTTCACGGTGGTCTCCTTGGCTGCCATGCCTCCCATTCCGCTGCCCACGGCCATGCTCTCTCTGTGATCCGCTGTCAGCAGCGATGGCACCACCTGTGAGGGCAAATGCAGTTGAGAACTGAGTCGGAGGGGTGAAGCGTCCGTCCGGGTGGTAGGATCTGAGCTAAGTGGGCACACAGTAAGCTCTTTCCATAGAAACAAATTCGGAAAACAATTTTGGGTTGAATAACTTTTCTTTAAGGCTTCTAAAGACCCCTCCCCCCCTTCTACCTTCCTGTTTTTTTTTAGATGATTATAATCCAAGGAGAAAACAAAAGTTATTTAAATACTCGAGGACCGGTGAGTGTAATTCATGCATGGGTAGGGTCCCTAGGCCTGGCCGACGATCAGGGCCGATCGGGGCCTTCCAGCGACCGGCTGGGGCCTCCCTTCCCCAGCTGCCGGCTGCTGGCTGGGGTCTTCCTTTGTTCCATGCCACCCCCTGGTGGTCAGTGCATGTCATAGTGAGTGGTTGAACTCCCGAGGGGACACTTTGCATTATATATATATAGTCATGGCTTATTTACTCTGTTGGCACCAATTGCATTCCAACTTTCCTCTAGAGCAGTGATGGTGAACCTATGATACGCATGTCAGAGGTGACACGCGAAATCATTTTTTTTACCAAAAAATGCCTTTGTTAAATGGCATTTAAATATATAAAATAAATATCAAAAATATAAGTCTTTGTTTACTATGGTTGCAAATATCAAAAAATTTCTATATGTGACACGGCACCAGAGTTAAGTTAGGGCTTTTCAAAATGCTGACACGCCGAGCTCAAAAGGTTCGCCATCACTGGTCTAGAGTTTAAGGCCTCTTTATTATGATAGAACCATTATTTTTTGTCTAGCTGGATACATGGTCATCGCAAATACAGATTCTATTTTTAAGCCTCCATTGCTGGTAGAAGTGCCACCTGACTAAGGCTGGTGAATGGGATTTCTGGCAGATATGGAGGATGTATCTTTCGGAAATGTTTTTCAGGGGTGGGTCTTCACCTTTTTCCTGTCTGCTTTTGGGAATGTGGGGACAGAAGTGAGTGTCTGGAGCATGAAGACAGCAGGGGATGGAACTCATCTGTGGAGGGACAATAAGGAAAAAGGAGCCGGCCGCCATATGGGATCACCCTGTTGGTCCTGGACCGCCCACGTGTATACTTCAGCCATTGTTGTTCTGCGTGCTCAGATACTTGATGCTAAGTCATATCTTATTAGACATGAAGCTCGCTTCAGATTATGATGAGAGACTCGGGGTGAAGACTCAGTGAAGAGAAACAGGAGATGCTATTAAGTAGGTAGAAGAGGGGGTTTCATAATCTTTTACAACTGTAATGGGTGGTGGGCTTACCTCTGCCAACCCTGTGTACTGAGGAAATGAAAATGCAGGAACATCTGGTTGTGAAAAACTGCCCATTTAGCATTGGCAATAAGAAATATTTTCATCCTAAATCTCTACACACTCTTGTTCTCTCTAACCTTTGTTCTACATTCCCTGTGTCACGACCTGACCCCTTTTCTACATTCTTTGTAACCCAGGACCTGCCACAGTACAGCAAAGCCACCTCAACTCTGCCCTGGCAACGAACACAAAATATGTCTCATTTAAAGGCATGCGAATGAAATCTGTAAGGACCACGTTACTGTCTCATGACCTAACATGTTAGAAACACTTCCCAAGGGCCCTTAAAATCAGAAAAGGAGACGAGTTCCGTGCTTATCCCATGATCTGACCTTGTCTTCAGGTGGTGCCCCTTCGTTATTCCAAGCGTGCAGCATCTCCACAGTGCCAGGAATGGGGGCGAAGCCTTTGGCGCCTTCTCCACACTGCCACATCAGCAGTAAAAGTGGTACAACTGGACAGAAACAAAATTAAGCACAAAACACGTTAGTCCCAACTTAATTTTAAATATAATTTAAATATAATTTTGGAATTTGCATATATCACTTCCTGGAATTCAGTCTTCACTTATTTACAACCCTATTTTTTTCATTTTCTTTTCTTCACCCTGATCCAACCTCGCCAAGCTTGTCATGGGAGAGGCACACCAAAGTCTACAGGCAGGATGTGGGGTCCTACAGATTTAGAGGCCTTGTCTGTCAGGAAGAGGCTGTGGCGGGTTACTGAGTGGAACACCAAGACTGAATACGATAGTATCTAAATCATCAAAACCAACTTAAAGACTTCAATTTTTTTAAACCATTTTCATCCTTATTTTTATATATTTATTAAATCCTCACTTGAGGATTTTTTTTAGAGAGAGTGGAAGAGAGGGAAAGACAGAGGAACATCGATGTGAGAGAAACACATGCATTGGTTGCCTTCTGCACATGCCCTGACTAGGGCCTGGGCCGGGGAGGATCCTGCAACAGAGGTGCATGCCCTTGATTGGAATCGAACCCAGGACCCTTTGGTCCTCAGGCCAACGCTCTATCCACTGAGCTAAACTGTTTAGGCCACTTTCATTTCTAATATGAGAATATCCACTATCCAAAAAAATATATGTGTTAAAAAAAATCAAAAGCTTCTAAGGGTAGAAACATTTTAACATGCTCAAATATTTGAGCACATTTGAATTTCTATAATACTTCACCACTTTCTCCTAGAGTAGAGGTGGGCAAAAGGCAGACTCACTGAGGTTCAAATCTATCTTTGAGTTACTTGAGTACTTCTTTCTAAAACGATTCTTCATTAAAACCCCTTAGGATAGATCAAATACTCAGTACAATTTCAGAGCTCCCCCCTTAAATCTCATTCTACCTCCAGGAAGAAGTGAAGGCCAATGCTGGCCTCTCCATCAAGGTCGTAAAGACTTTGACTACACCTGTGCACAGTCCACCGGAATTGGGTGTTACTGCCACTCCCATTAGGCAGCTTCCAGCGACGAAATGATGACTCCCTAGACATTTCCTATATTAACAGGTGGCAGCACAGTCACTGTAGCTACTGTGAGCAATAAAGATTGAAATCAAACGGGGAGTTCAACAGTTGTGGAAATTCAGCAAATATTTGTCAAAGGTGTACCAGGTGCCAAGTGCCACCGTAGGCCCCGGGGAATGTGAGTGAGAAGGCAGTGTAGGGACTCCCCAGCTCCGGGACCTCCCTACCAGCCTGGGGAACTGAGGGAAGTCACTTAGTGGTGTGTGTCTGTATCATAAAGCAGAGACGATGGTATGAAAGCACACTGTACACTGTTGAGTGGTGTGCACTCAATCGCACACCTACTGATGGCTTCGCCAAGCTCTCCCTGTCACTGAAATGGCCGGGCTGCTTCAGAAACGGCCCTCTGCCCACGTTCAGTGGTCAGGGGCAGTGGTCTTCCACGTGACCCCAGACTGCAGTCCTTTGTTCTCTCATGAAAGGAACCCTGAGGTCTTGGAGGACATGCAAGGCAGGCAGGACGGGTCCTCACTGTTGGGAAGCACAGAAGTCTCAATGCTGTAGGCCCCACTGAAGGGCAAGCCACGCAGAGGGTCTGGGGAGATGAAGGGCAATTCATGCAGAGGGTTTGGGGAGATGAAGGGCAAGCCACGCAGACGGTCGGGGAGGTGGGCTCTGACCAGTTGGATGTGCAAAGCAAAGATGAATGAGAATAAGATGAGCTTGTGAAATAACCTTGTATCCATAACGCAAATTCAGGCACCCAATCTTGTCTGAGTGCCTCCTGTGGGCAAGGCCCTGTCCTAGGCACTGGGCAGCGAAGAAGACACCAGGGCCTTGCCTCACAGACCTGCTCAAACGGGGGGCACCACCTACTCGAAGTCAGTCAGAGAAAGGCAGATGCCACAGGATTTCACTCACATGTGGAATCTAAAGAACAACACAAATAAACAAAACAGAAACAGACTCACAGACACAGAGACCAGACTGCGGGTGCCCAGCGGGGAGGGAGGTTGGGGGACTGGGTGCAAAAGGTGAAGGGATTAAGAAGTACAACTTGGTAGTTCAAAGCGGTCACAGTGATATCCAGTGCAGCACAGGGAATACGGCCAATAATATTGTAATAACTCTGTATGGTGCCAGGCGGGTACGGGAAATATCAGGGGGAATGTGTAGTAAAGTATATGATTGTCTAACCTTTATGCTGTGCACCTGAAGCTAATACAAACTAATACCGAATGTAAACTGTAATTCAAACATTAAAAAAAATGTTTTGTTTTTTTTTAAATGGGGACCCCAGCGTTGTCTATGTTAAAAGGTTGCTGAAGATATGCATGGTAGCCTTGGTGATTTAAATCAGAAAATGATACACTTTTATACAACCAAGTTCTGAGGCGTGCTCTAATAACCTTTGTTGAATTCACCCATGATCAATCCTGGTTTCCCTCCTCACCCTCGGTGTTCAGTGGGTGAGGATGACTGTAAAGGAACCCACGACTACTATGGTAACAACTCCAGGAAAGCCCTTCATGACCGAAGGAGCCAAACACAGTACTCACGCAGCAAGAGCAGAAGCGCCAAGATGATCAGCGCGATGGCGGCCGGGCCCAGGCCCACGTGGCCGCCGCGCAGCACTTCCACGCAGCCGCTGCCGTCCAGGCACTTGCACACCATGAGCTTCAGGACCTGCTTTTCCGAGCAGCTGAAGCCCTGGCTGTCCGAAATCAGGAGCTGGATGTCGCTTCTCCCGGGCTTCCGCTCGCGTTGCTGCAGCAGCACGCTGGTACCTGTCGGGGAAGAGGCAAGAGGGAGTGAAATGGCAAGAGTGAGTTACGGAAACATTTTATTTTTAAAGTAAGTTTTTACTGATTTTAGGGAGAGAGGAAAGGAGAGAGACAGAAACATCGACATTGATTGGCTGCCTCCTGCCACCCCCTGCTGGGGATTGAGCCGGCAGCTGGGCATGTGCCCTTGACCGGGAATGGAACTGGCTCTTGGTGCATGGGTTGATGCTCAACCACTGAGCCACACTGTCTGGGCTAGAAACAGTTTCTCATGGCCAATAACATTTAGCACCAGTTAGAAGCTTCATCCTTTCTTCATGGCTCTATTTTTTTTCCTTTTGGGGGGAGGGAAGGTGAAACTATCCACTTTTGGAGACACCCCAGAGGTGGGCTGGCATGTTGGTATGAAAAGGGTTTGGTCTAATTTCTTGCTTAGTCCAGACACTCCAAATACATGGGTGAAGAGCAAAGGATAGGAGTGGACATGCCGGACTTTTATGATGATTAGTCTTAGCAAAAGTGTGTGGTTTGCCAAATACTATAAACTATTGTATGTACTGGGAATACAGTGACACACAAGTGGTGAGTTAAATGGTATTTCTACTGAATGACCTTTATTTTATCATTTCACACAAAAAAAATTTATCCAGGAAATTTCAAACAGACAACAGAGAGAAGAGCATAATTAACTCATGGTGCCTGTCACCAGCTTTAACATTACTGAAAGCCTTGTAAAGTGACTGTGAAGAGTTGTTAAACTTTAAATGTTTAACAATAGATCTGTAAATTAAGAAAAACTTGGGTATGATATTTGAAACCTTAGAAAACGAACATTAATTGTTTAGGAAAAAAGTCTTCCGGGGGAGGAGGGGTGTCTTTGTACATTCAGAACCACCCGCAGGGCACCGGAGGCTCACATCCAGAAGGCGGACTTGCCTTCTGAGAGAGCTGTGTCCGGGAGTGGCCATAAGCATAAGGCTGTCTGGCATGGAGGGTCACAGAGACCCTCCTTCATGGGTGTCCATCACTCACCCGCTTCGTGACCTTGAACAAGCTACCTAACTTTAGTTAAATCAAGGTTTCCTCAGCTAGCATGAAGGAATGATGTTATGGAGAAAGGATTAAATGAGATCATGTGTCTGAAGGGCCAGCAGAGTGCCTGGCACATGATAAGTGATCAATAAATGTTACTTTTTGCTTAGACGGGCAAGATGCTCCTCAGCTTGTGAGACACAGTCACATCTTCAAGAGCAATTCAGAGAACGCCCAGCTATCATTAGGACATGAGGTGATTTTTCTTCTCTCCCTCTTCTGTTGTTCCAAATGGGTTATTGGATTCGAGCCAGACAAAGGACCCTATGCCCAAGGTTCAAAACCTCATTTTCTAACCCCTTTGAAAATGGTATTGGAAATCCTATATAGTAAAAGGTCATATGCAGATTGTCCCCTCCACCGGGAGTTTGACCTGAGTTCAACCAGGGGGTGGGGCCGCCCACCAACTGCCCATGTCCCTTCCCCCTTCTCGGCCTGATTGCCTGATAGGGGCGGCCGCCTGGACCCCACCCGTGCACGAATTCATGCGCCGGGCCTCTAGTATAATTTTTAAAAGAAACCCAGCCTCTAGTATAAAGGTTTTCAATTTGTCTTAATATTTTGACGTGTCGGCCAGTGACTTGGCTTACTTTCTTTGTGTATGATTTTCCATTCCTCTGCCATGCCGGCTGGTTTGTCAACGATGACGAAAGTGAAAGGGTCACTATTTGGGTACCCGTCCAGGTCCCTCGCGGTCACGTTCACATACTGCACGTCATCACAGACGTTTAGCACTGGGTCCACCAGCGTGGGGCAGTTGTCATTGATGTCTTCCACCGTGATCACAACAGTGCCAGTGATGGTTTTTCTAGGAGAATCTTAAAGGGAAGAAACAAATATGTATATTCTGATTCTACTGCTGATAACAAGCATAGTTTGAATTTTCTTGCCATTTTTATAAGAAGGTCCTAACAAATTAGGACACTTCCTATCCTAGATATTTTTCATAGTTAGATTACGTAATATCTTTTAATCCATTAAATAAGTAGAAATGTGAAAATTTCTCCACCGGAGAGATTTGATTTTTCTATAAGATCAAAAGGAAGGTCTGTGATGTTGGAAAATAACATCAAACCATATGTAACCAAGAAAAATATTTAATAACTTACCTTCTGAGATAGCTAAAATCTTTACAGTATATGTACCATTTTGGACATATCTGGATTCAAAATCAGGAAATTTTATAAGTTTAATCTCAGATGTGACAGAATCCACAGAGACCCAGTTGTCTATATCTTCCAATTTGGTGTATCTGTTTAAAACAAATAAAATTAATTTTGAATTCTGGATAAACTGTGCCTCTCTAATATTTACAACTTTTTCAAGTTTAAATTTTGCTTCACTGTATATGTTCTTGTTATAGGCATTAATTTGAAATGCTTTTAATTTCCTGAAACCATCCTAAAAGCTACTCTCTTTACTGCATACAACACTTACTTTGGAACCTGTCTTGTTCCTGAAACTCAAGACATACACACAGCGCGGCCATCCTTTGCCTGCTCGGCAGAGGTTCACAAGTCTGTCTCTAGCTCTCAGTCTGCTCTCCCTGAAGTTTGGGGGAAACCTTTGGAGAATGATGTAGTTACCCAACGAGACCCGGCGGAGAAAAGTGATCTCACATTCTATTGTTTATTGGCATCATATTGTTTATTATCAATATTTAAAAAGACCAATTTTAAAAATGGAAGTACTTTAACATTTTGGAATATTGTTGATCGCTAGGAGCAGTAAGGCTTCTTTCAGTGAGAAATGGTTCAAAGTGAAAGCAATGCTGATGAAGTGATTTCTGGGTTTCTTCCCTCAAAGCCAGGAGAATCAGTGAGGAAGGAGGTAACTTTGAGAAAGTGAAGGAGAGCTTTCATATTATGTCTTCAGAAATGTATGTAATTTAATACCATTGCGTTTACAAATAACTGAATCCAAACATAAGCCAATGAATATTTGGTTCAGTTAACCAGATTGATAATTTATTTTCTGTTAAGTGGCTGTTTGCTAATTTATAGCAATACTTGTTTACATTGCTATTTAAAAAATTCCAATTATATACTTTAACTGAAATTTCTGCTTTTTAATATTTCTACCAGTAAAGGATGATACATTTGGATTTTCACAAGTATTTCTGAATTTCATGTCTAGAATTTTAAAGCCTAGACTTAACTGATGTCAATGGTTTCCCACATTCATAGTTATAATAATACAGGCAGAGTCTTAGTAAGAAGGATCACATTTCCCATGTATGTGATCGCATTTTCGGAATTTTCTCTGCGGTAGAAATTACAGACATCGAGTAGGATGGCGGCTCATGTTATGCCAAATATCGATAAACAGTGGATGCATGTGAATAATCAGTAAAACAGTAAATTATGACAAAGTTAACGAAGTAATTCTTCTGTCCCTGTCAGCATTTCTAAATAGCAACCACTAATTAGTTAGGGAAATGTTAGAAAATTATTTAGTTTAGTTGTGCACCCCATTCCTTATCTGTTCAATAGGAGGTCTGAATCGACCTTTAAGCTCTTTCTCACACTGAAGTTCTGTCATTGCATGCTAAAGATGAAAGGAAATCCTTTTAAGAAATACGGAACATGGTTCATTATTTTTTTCCAGGCAGAACATATATTTTGATATATTTATCATCCTTAGCAGCCAAAGTTAAATAGGTGGGAAATAGAAGTTTCAATAAATAGCCCAGTATTATTGCAGGATAATGAACTAGAACCTAAGGCTCTCAGTGGGCAGCAATGAGAAATGGTCAGAGAGCATGCGTCCTCAGGGCTGGGGATCCCCGTAGGGAGGGCCTTGTTAGGGCTGGAGCCGTGGAAATAAAGACTAGACCACAAAACTCCCAAGAAGCAGGGCGGTTCCTGCAGGTATGGTGGGCAACACAGGGTCACCAAGACATTGCAGAAAACACAGTGGAGGCTGTTTGTTAATATTTTTTTGGGAAAAGGCAATTTGCTACTCTTGGATGATGAATTCTATTAGGAGTCACCAAGCCCGGCTAGTGTAGCTCAGTGGTTCAGCATCGACCTATGAACTAGGAGGTCACGGATTAATCCCCTTTAGGGCACTTGCCAAGGTTGTGGGTTCAATTCCCAGTGTTGGGCGTGCGGGAGGCAGCCGATCAATGATTCTCTCTCATCACTGATGTTTGTGTGTCTCTCTCCTCCCTTCCTCTCTAAAATCAATAAAAATATATTTTTTAAAAACGAAGTCACCCAAAGGAAAGAGACTGTTGCAGGGCATTCAGCATTCTTGCTGTGGTTGGCCACACACGTCGACACACTGTTTTCAAAGTGCTGGCACCCAGGGATTCAAAGGTAAGATTTCCCAGGCGCAAGGACAGCGAGGCAACCAAACCACCCGGGCTGACCGCAGGACCGGCTGTGCATGTGGGTGGCAGGTGGGGCTTCTTTATATTTGACCCGAGTGACTCTCACTGGGCTCCGTAAGTAACCGTCTGTAGATTCGCCTTCCCATGGCACGGACCTGCTATCTAAGATGTACTTTTACTCTGAACATTCACCCATCATGCAAACCTAAGGTGTCGCTCTAAGGGGGCACAGCCCAGTCCCTTCCGCAGGCACAGTGGTGCCATCTAGTGGGCTCTCAATCCAAGTATCCGAGTAAAAGCCACCATGACCAAGACCAAGGTTCCTCATCCCTGCACCAAACAGCATGGTTTCAATGAAGAGTCATTTCCAGGATTGATGTGCAAATGATACTGGTTTCTCCACATTAAAATACATGCGGCAACTATTTCTTTTAACCAACCTCGTATCAAGCGAAATTTGCAATACAATTTGCTGCTTCCTTTGCTGTTTTTCAGCCTTGCTAGCCAGAACTCTCTGAGGCAGGGACCCAGCCTCTGCCTTCACACTCGGGGTGGAGGGAGCGGGCCAGGGGAAATGTCTCCCTGCCTCTCAGCTGCAGGGACAACTCTGGGAAAGTTAATCTCTAGCCCATTGGGGAATTAGAATGCTGGGTGGGAAGAAATGAACTGTTCGCCTTTCATTGTGATTTTGTCGTTAACAGGCATTGAGAGTAATTTACGAGCAATTCTATTTGTCACTATGTCTTACTTTACACGGGCTGCTTGTCCAGTGTCTTCGTCAAAAGCTTGAAATTTCCCAATTACTTGGCTCAGGCTTGTTTTTTCCATGCTCTCGCTGGTGCGAATGGAGATGGTGCTGCTTCTGAAATGAATGCCTTCCTTCACATTCTTCACCTTGACTTTGATGGGGATGGCTGTGGGCTTATATTCACTCTTAACTGACTTGTGGAAAGTGGCTTTATTAGTGACAATAACGCTGAAGTCAAGATGCTTTATTTCTTCATAATCTAATTCCTAGAAAGGCAAAACCAAAGGGAATTGTTCAAAAGAGAGAATAGAACACACACGCACCCGCACCCACATGTGATTTGAATGTTGCATAGGAACATTTAACACAGCAGCACTGAGTATTCCAACTCATACTGATAACATGCAGTTAAAAATCTGCCAATGTGGATATTCGTAACTGTGAGGAGGATTATGAAATGTCCCCAATTAATTTTTTTAAAGGTCAATGTCATTTAAAAAACATTATGAACAATTTGAAGTGATTTCTTTTCCTAAGGAAGTTAATGGACACTCAATATCAGTTAATATTCCTTAAACTGGTTCCATGAGTTTGTTCTGGGGAAAGGGCTACAGACATAGTGCTTACCTTAATAAGGATCACGATTCCTTCATTAGTTTGATTATCAGTTTCGATGCGGAAATAACCCTTTTCATTTCCTGACACAAATGTAAAGTTTGCTAACCAATTATCCGAGCCTCTCTCATCTGCGTCCAGCACTTTTATGCGCATCACTTCTACATTGGCTCGGTTTTCTTCAACTGTCCCTTCATACTGCAAATCAGGAGCACAGGATTTTCATGTTAATGCCACACACACACACACACACGCACATACGTCATACATTTTTAGGTAAAACTAAGGTATGAATAAGTAGATACATTGGTTATAAGGATAATAGTTACCCTTTGACTCTCCACCACGGGTATATTGTCATTGACATCCAAAATACGGATCTGAACTTGAGCTTGCTTGACAGGCTTATCGGTTACTTCTCCTTCTTTGCCATCTCTGGCTTCCACTGTCAGAGTGTAGCTGCTGTGTTTCTGCAGGGCAATGCAAATACCACTGGGGTGAGCATCGAGCCTCCAAACCTGTCTCCTGGTTTTATTCACTTCGCCATCAAGGAAATGCACCACAGTGCAATTTACTCATAAGTAAGTTCCTGATCTGCTGTTATTCGTGTGAAGATGTTTATTTGCTGCCAGAGATTTTCCGGAAGGGGCAGAGAAGCCTGGAGGAGTTGCTGGTAGTTAATTTCTTAAAGATGTCCTTGGTGATATTAGTCAATTTCTTAAATACGTCATTGGTGATATTGTTAGGAGATGAGTCTCTCCTTAAACCAGTTTGTGCACAAGAGTGCTGTTCAAAGTGGCTTTTGCTCTACCTTGGCAGTGATGGCGAGAATACAGGGATCGGTTCTTTCTACCCTACACTTCATTTTCAGCTAATAGTGAAGCCAGAGAGACCTAGTCACCAGGAAAACCTGGCCAGTGAAGGCAAAATGTGGTGACCTGGACCTTTGTCCGGACATCCTGAGAGATCTGATTCTTAAAGGTGCCCTAGAGAACGGCATCTCAGATGTTCACCTCAAATGAACCCTGCTCTTCCCTGTGCCCCCACAGCGCCTCCATCTGTGTGGCGGGTCGTTACAGGGTGGCAGCCAGCAGGGTGTGTGGGGCGCGTGGGGCGCGTGGGGCGCGTGGGGTGGCTGTGCGGGGCAGAACTCAGTGACAGGAGGGCGGCAGAGGCCGCGCCTGGCTCCAGTGCGGCTCTGTCCCTTACTAGCTGTGCTGGATACACTCGCTTCCTTTGACCCCCAGTGTCCTCCTGTGTAAAATGGGAATGGATAATGAATCGATCTGCCTCACTGGGTTTCTAGGTGGATTAAATGGGTTCATCTACGTAAAAGGTGTGGAGTGCACCTGGCGTATGTAAATGTCCGATAAGGCAGATTATGGACTAAACTTGCCATACTTCAGGGACGGCAGCTTATTAAAAAGTCACACTACTTCAAAATAATACTTTTCCATTCTAATTTTATTGAAGGCATGGAGTAGAGGTTTAAGAATAATAAAATTCTTGAATTCTACCAAGATCTCAGTAGGAACGTTGGGCACAACCCCGTCCCTCTCTGGGCAGAGTGAAACATCCTTCCAAGAGATACAAAATGTACTGACTGCACTTGGGTGATGATTTATGGTTCTTAGGATCATCACCATTTTACTCATGTACACTGTTAAAATCTTCAAGTACGCAGCACTTGTAAGATTTTCTAGATCCCTTTTTTCTTTTAAAATTTTTCCTTTCCATTAGAAATAAAAATGTGAAATGTTTGAGAGAACAGCCTTTCGGGACACCTACTCAAATTTTCTTCCAGTTTGGGATTCACAGTAATTCTTCCCTTCACAAGTAGTTCTATAACAGGGCTGCCACCTCTACCTGTTTGCCTGCCCAGGCATATCCCTGAGCCGTAGAGGCGACCCCTGGTGTTTCATTACAGAACTGCAAACGAAGGAAGCTCTCCAGCAAACAGAACCCTGGCCCCCTTGACAATTTTAAATTTTCTAGCAGCCACATTCAAAAAAGTAAAAAAAAACAACCCTGATGTTAATATTAAAAATATATTTTATCTAACCTATGGTATCTCAAATATTATTTCAAAGCGTAATCAACAAAAAATTAAGATGGCATTTTGCATTCTTTTCTTTTTTTCATCCTAAGTATTCCCAATTTGGTACATCTTCTGTTTGTAGCACAACTCAATTTGGACCAGTCACATTTCAAGAGCCCAATGGCCACAAATGGCCAATGGCTGCCATACTGGACAGCATATCCCTAGGAGGGGATAATTCCAAGTGTTAGCCTATGAACTAGAAATACACAACAAAGCAAGAAAACTGAACAGAGAAACAGAGAGGAGAACCTGAAAGAATAAAGGAGAGTTTGGAAGATGAGCAACGTAAAATATTCATGTACCTCTCTGTCCAAGGTATTACTGACTGTATAAATCTCTCCCGTGTCTTTATTCAGGTAAAACATTGCGGGCTTAGCAGGCTCCTGAGATACGATTTTGTAGGAAATTTTAGAATTCATGGAATTGGGCTCATCTGCGTCTGTCGCATTGATTTTCATCACGAGGGTGTCTGGCATTAGAAACAAAGGCATCCAGAATGAAACAACCTTGACCACATGCATATATGTTACTTTATGTATCATTTCAGCTTGTTCCAAGTAGGATTTCACGTGTTTATCAAAACCACAGTTTACCAAGATCAAAAAACTGAACTGGACGAAGAAATAAGTATGAATGGATTGAAGGAGTAAGAAAAACAAGGAAAGGGCAGGACCAGCGTTAGTAGTACAATTCTTAGGGTGAAGTCCCCAACACTTGCTACAGGAGGGCCACAGATTTATTTACAATAGCTCTAATAAAAAAAGAAGGACGAACAGATACAAATAGATGCTTATTAAAATACAAACAGTTCAAGAGAAGCACAGCTGTTCTTCAGAATATTATCAAAGAGAAATGTCTTGCCTGGCTGGTGTGGCTCAGTGGTTGAGCATGGACCTAGGACCCATGATCCATGAGGTCACTGTTTGATTCCTGGTCAGGGCACATGCCCGGGTTGCAGGCTTGATCCCCAGTAGGGGGCGTGCAGGAGGCAGCTGATTGGTGTTTTTCTCTCATTATTGGTGTTTCTATCTCTCTGAAATCATAAAAATATGTTTTAAAAAAGAGAGAGAAATCTCTCCTGCAAGTGTTCATGTAGAACACTCTATTGAATGATGCCAATAAACCTGACATGAGTCAAAGGTCAGCAAACTACTGCCAGCGGGCAAGGCTAGTCGGCCACCAGTTTTGTAAATAAAGTTTTATTGGAACACAGCCATGCCTGTTTGTTTACATACTTTCTATGGCTGCTTTTCTGCTACAAGGCAGAATAGCTGATAGAGATCCGACATGTCACATCCATCCACCATATCTGTTCTGCAGGTATAAAACAAGTCATGTAAAATCTTTTGAACTTATCACAAAAAAGCCAGTTCTACACCTAGACAACAGGCTTGTTACTGTTTGTCCCGTGGTTAACACTCAGCCTCCACGGAGTCACAGGAGGTGGCATTCAGCCCCACTGTGGGGCTACAGCGCCTATGGGTATTCATTCATAAACACAGTCGACACTCACGTGCTGCGCTCAGTTCTTCCACGGACCCAACAAAGACTTCCTGAGTGAACACGGGCTCGTTGTCATTGATATCAAGAACTTTGATGCGCAGTTCTAACGGCTTCTCTAGATTGTTGCCTCTTTCATCCAAAGCATAACCAGTGAGCTGAAATGGCACAAATCATAGAAGAGATTAGATTTAACCTAAGGCAATGACCTGCCATGGTACCAAAAAATAATAAATCATGACAGTTACCAATGAAAAAACTCAAACTAATAAATATAAAATTGTTCTTACCAGGAAATACGGCGTTTCTTCTCGATCAAGAATGCGGGTAACGTTCAGTTCTCCCGTGTCTTTATCAAAGACAAACACACCATAAGGTGGCTCTGTGATGCCTTTCCCAGTGTATTTGTATCTAATTTTTATTCTTTTTTCTTCTGCAATATCAGAATGTATCTAGCATGGAAATAAGAGGGGAATATTATCTCTAGATAGAGTATTTGGAAAGTTGGGGAAATTTAACAAGATTTTTTCCTTTTCATGTAAATTTTATTCTTAACAACTTAGATAATTAAAATTAGTAAGAAGAAGAGTTATTCCCTATTGAACCCCAAAGAATCAATGCATTTTAGGGAAACATAACGAAAGAATGTGTGAATGACTGAGATATTTCAGAAAACCAAACCAAACCAAAATGAAAACCTCAGTTGCTCGCACACATACTGGGATGTGACGCCTGGATTACAAATCTGGGTTTTAGAAGGCTTTCTTGAAACGACCTGTTGCTGGGAAATGGAAAATACTATCTTCCGTTAGGTAGCTGCTCTTCCTCTCCAGGGGCTCGTCATGCACGACGTGTATAAGACTGGAAGGTGAAGTGAAACTTAGAAGTGTCTGCGCCAGAAGCCAAGCGACACAGGGATGGGACTGAGGGACGGGGTGAGGAGGGAAGGGAGCCCTGAGGACCCGGCACTGCTAATACCTGTAGGGTGGGGCTTCCAGCAGAGGGAGGGCAGGGCCAAGGGGAGGGGCTGGAATGTGGAAGGAGCTTAGATCAGTGAGGGTTGTAGCAGAGTGGCGGATGCGCTAGGAGCTGAGGTCAGCGAGGAGGTCAAGGCCATTAAATCCCAAGGGAAGCAATTGAAAGGGTCTCAGGGAGCGGGGGAACAGGCTTCGATTTGTCTTTTCAACCCATCACTCTGGCTGCTTTTGGGAGAATGAACTGTGGTGGGGCCGGGGGTTGGCATGGGGGTGGCAAGAGTGAGAGCAGGGACATAGGTCAAGACTTTCGGGAACACAGGTCAGAGATGACGCTGACTTGGACGAGGGAGTGGCAGTGGAGAGAAGTGGGCATAATCTTGCTACATTTTAAAAAAACTGGGTGGAATTATAGTGCCATTTACTGAAATGGGTAGAACTTAGAGCACATTTAAGGGGGAAAAAAAAAATCAAGGGCTCAGGTTTGCACATGAGATGTAACCATAGAAAAATAGGACACTGAGCATGAAAGGGAGTTATTAATTGTTGAGCCAGGACAGCAACATTCACGGAGACGGTCTCAAGCTGGATAGATGGTCACTGTATCTGTTTGGTATCAGTTTTTCATTTTAAAAATGACTCTTCAAGTATAGGGTGGCAGAACATGCCACTCCCAAATATGCCACCTTGGTATAGGTTTATTTTGACCTGAAGGCAATTGAGAAGAAGTGGATATAAAAAAGCTCTCTGCCCTCCCTCTATTTGTCTAGACACAGCACATAAATTTATAAAGGTGATCTCTCTCTCCTCTATCAAGGACAAAAGTTAATCGTCACCGACAACTTCAGACCCTTTTCAGTATTGAGATGGCACAAGGACTCCACATAACTTTACTAACGAGTCTTTTCTACCATCAGGTTACCAGATATCTGTCTTCCCACCATTTGCTGCCCCTACAAGTTCAAGGTCCTTTTCCTTTGCCTTGTCACTTCTCTAAGAATTGTTCCTTTCCTAAGATGCCCGAATTCTAACCAAACCTTTGAGTTACTCATCTCTGGATACTCCCACGTGTGACATGCATAATATACACGTTAATAAACTGCTTTACTTTTCTCCTGTTAGTTTTTCCTTTGTCAGTCCAACAGGTTCCCAGGGAGAGAACCTAGGAGGGTAGCAGGGAAAAGAAATTTTCCTCCCCAGCGTAGATTTCTTTTGATTATTGTAACATTTACACAGAGATTCAACTGGTGCTAGATCCCTTAACTCTTAATTTAATCAAAACCCCAAATTATATATATGTCTTCTCCAATGATGGTGCCTCTTCCAGAATGGGAAAGAGGAAGTTGTTTTTTTTTTTAATATTAAATTTATTGGGTGACATGATCATATAGGCTTCAGGTGGTTTCTATTTTTTAAGTTAAATTTGTTGGGGTGACACTGGTCAATATAAGAAAGAAGATCTTAAAATGAGAGGTTCCTGCTAAAAATTAAGCTTTGCTAATTTTCAAATACATCTGCAATATTAAAAGCCTAATTAAGTACATTATAGAATTTTCCTTAACTTTGAAAGTGGACATACAAGTCTTCTTCCACCACATTGTGGTGACATGCATGCATTTTCTGTTCCTCTTTAGAAAGTACCTTGGCGATCGGATTCTTTTTGGACAGATCCTCTCCTTCCCGCAGACTCACGGGGGCAGTGATCCAGGCTCGCTTCTGCCGCACTAAGTGAGTATGTTTAGGAAGCGGCTCATTTTCATTTCTGATGTGTAAGGTCTACAACAACAAAACATTGCCAAAAAGTGATTAAGTACCTAAGACATCAGGATGGTATCATGGAATTTACTAGAACTTTTAAGAAAGCTGTGTACATTTCAAGGTATAAATTTCATATTTATTAACAGACTTCCTTTTCATAGAGGAAATGTGTTTATACTCTAGCAAATTCTACAGGAGCTCAACAGATTGTCTCCAAACCAGTATAGCATCTGGGGTTTCATCTTTACCAGAAAGAAAAGATTTCCAAGAGTGAAGAGTTTAAAAGGTTAAAGAGTAATTTAGTGACCTTACAAATAAGCAAATTAAAATTAACATGAATTTTTTTTTCTTACTAATGGAAAATGAAGTTTAGTTTTTCTGTGGTAGCTTATATTTTAAAAATAAATTACTAAATGTTTTAAGACTAAATCTTAGTAACCTATTGATCTCAATTTGACTAAGAGCAGTGAAAGTGTCAGTTAATGAACTTATTGTTTTCATTGTGGGGTCAAGGTTTAAATTGCCCATATTTTGTTTTAGAACCTTTCCTGGAAAGTGATTGTATAAATTTTCAATTGTTCTTTAACAGATAATACAGGTTTTATCCAAGGAAAATTTCAATGCAGCTGACCTAGTGTCTTAAGATCAGACATGATTATTCTACTAGGTTTCTCATTTTCCTAATTTTGTAGTTCTATATAACAGGTATTTTATTTAGAAATATTTACACTGCTTATCTCTAGGTCATTAATTTTTTTCTTTGCTTTTAGTTGAAAAATTCTCCTATAACTTAAAAAATTAAATTATGTAACAAAAAATTAAATAATACTAAGGTTTATAATGTAAAAGTATAAAATTTTCCTCTACATTTTCACTCACACTTCTGAGTAGTCACTGTTAACAACTGGATGAATGAGTATCTTCTACGGTCTTTTCGTATGACCATAGAGTTGTACATGTATAAAGGTCTTTTCCTAAAAAAATGCAATGTACTATGCATGGTTCCTTACCTCTAAATGGAGTGCACTCCCAAAGTGAAAGCAGATCTGAAAAATAAAATTATTTATTTATTATTTAATACAATTTATTACTCCAGTTTAAATATTTTTTAAATGAATAACTAGGATATTACAGACATTAACAAGAAGAAAATAGGTTTAACACCACCACTATTCTCCTTTGTCAAAAGGAAACAAAATTTATTTTCTCCCCTTTGCCTCCCTACCATGTCCAGGGCTAGAGAGAGGAATCAACACTCTTTTTGGTCCACAATGTCTTCTCCAGGAAACTCAGGACACAACGAATATCTGAAAACCAACCCCAAACTCTCCTGTGATTTTCATCTCTTGTTCTTGGGGAACCCACTTACCTTTCCTCAAGGCCTTTAGTGTGCAAAGCCGCCCAGCACTCCCTCCCCCGCCGTCCCCCATGGGCCATACACACGGCTACCCACAGCCAGCCTTCCTTCCTCACCTTCCTGCGTCCCCCGGCTCTTTTCTCTGGTTCTTATCCAGCACTGTGACATTGAACTTCATCACTACACAGAACTACACGCAGTATGTTTACCCTAACATCCGGACAACACCTCCTAGTCTGCCTTTTGATGTTTGCTTCACTTTTCTCCTGGCTTAATCCAAACCAGCACTTTCTTTCTTTTTTTTAAAAAATATATATTTTATTGATTTTTTTACAGAGAGGAAGGGAGAGGGATAGAGAGTTAGAAACATCGATCAGCTGTCTTCTGCACAACCCCACTGGGGATGTGCCCGCAACCAAGGTACATGCCCTTGACCGGAATCGAACCTGGGACCCTTCAGTCTGCAGGCCGACGCTCTATCCACTGAGCCAAACCGGTCAGGGCCAAACCAGCACTTTCTAATGTGGTCGCCACGTGTGGTTATTTACACTTGAACTTAAATTATTTGTAATTAATAATTCACTTGCTCAACAGCCACGTGAGATAAGTGGCATGAGACATCGCAGACACCCATCTCTGCCGACAACTCGATTGGAGGACGCTGGTAGATTCCTACCAGCCATCCCAGACACGCCCTTCTTCTTTTGATCTGCTAATGTTCCTGCCTCACGTTCCCCCCAACTCTGTGAGCCCAACTGTTACTCTCTTGGATCCTGACCCTGTACTGACAAAAGTGCTTGGTTGGATCCGTCGCACACCCATGCTCTCTAACACCTGCTCCTTCCACAGGGCTGGTGTTAGTTTCCAGGGCGACCATATTTTTGTTTTCCTCCGGAGTCTAGATGACACCATGGTGCCCTCTGAGAGCAGCCCTTTCGTTCTCAAAAGTTTGCTCATTCAGACCACAAAGTACACAGCCCCTTATCTTTGTGTCTCTTATTGTATCCCCATCATGCATAGGATTCCAAACCTCATGACCTCATCTAAACCCAGTCACTTCCCAAAGGCCCCACCTCCAAAAGCCATCGCTGGGAGGTAAGGCTTTTTCCTAGGAATTTGCAGGGAGCACATTCGTTCCTTAACTATGTAGGAGAGAATTCTAGCCAATGAGATATCAGGAGAGTCTGGAAAAATGCCCCTCACTGATGAGAAGAGAAGCACACTGCCAACCTCTCTCCTCACCTGCCCTGGAGATGGGTGAGTGAGGATGAGACTTGGAATGGCGACAGCCAGCTGTGACCACGAGGAGAAAGCTAATGCAATGGCAGAGAAGCCAAACTGAACCTGTGGCATCTCCGAGTCACAGAACTGGTCAAATTTGGAGCCGCCCCATCTCTGACCCACTTTTTAAATATTCTTTTTATTTTAATTTTTTAAAATACGTTTTTATTGATTTCAGAGAGGAAGGGAGAAGGAAAGAGAGATAGAAACATCAATGATGAGAGAGAATCATGGATCGGCTGCCTCCTGCATGCCCCCTACTGGGGATTGAGCCCGTAACCTGGGCATGTGCCCTGACTGGGAATCAAACCGTGACCTCCTGGTTCATGGGTTGATGCTCAACCTCTGAGCAACACTGGCTGGGCTATTTAAGCCACCGTTAGTTGTGTTTAGTTACTTATATCTGAAAGCAACCCACCTCACAAGCCCACTTGGCATGGTTATTACACTAATTAAAAGAAATAATACACAAGTATCTTTATTGCAAATGACTGGCATGTAGCAGGCACTCAGTCAATAGAATTATGATGCTATTTCCTCTATTCCAAGACCTGCATTTTCCTCACCTTAAAATTTCTGAAATTTGGATTCATTCAGGCCTTCAATTTTCTACAACATGCTAAGTAATATAATGTTCTTAGATGTTGGGGAGAGAGACAAAAATAGATTGTGATGAGAGCTATAAAGAAAGTTAAAGCAGGGGCAGAGTGGTGGGTAGTAATGCAGGACTGAGAGGCAGCTCCCGGAAGAGGAGCGAGAGGGGTGCCAGGCAGTGCCCTGCGGGGACTAGCCAGGCCGTGGAGTGGGGCTGATGGCAGCGCCTTCGAGGTGGGAGCTGCTGGAGGAGAGTGAGTCGGGGGATGATGGCTGGGCTTTGGGGAGCTGGTGATCTTGTTTCTTAATCCTTTGTAGGCCGTAGGCGTCTATAGATGCAAGTGGCGGACCTCTGAATTAAATTCAAAATATCGTGGCGTGTGGGGATGGTTTCCGGTTTGGACGTGTGGCAATTAACCCGCTAATCTAGTCGCTGGTTACGTGGTGTGTGCAGTTTGAGAAAGTCCAGTAATTCAATACACTTGTAATATGTGCACTTTTCTGTATGTTACACTAACAAGCTGCAAAAATGTGTGTGCATCTTGAAGCTGAGGGGGTCTGGGAATCGACATGATAGTTCTGCTGTTGGCGTTTTATAGCACCTGTTGCAACAGCTTGTTTTCAGACCTTGACAAGGCAGGATGGGCTGAAACATCCACTCGGCACTCATTGCACAGAACCGAGGGAATCGTATAACATTCTGCCAGCTGTTTATGCCAGCGGTTGCCAGCCGGGAGCCCGTGAGGTCCGAAAGGTTGGCGACCGCTGGTTTATTGGATTGAAAACAATTAAGATCTTAACTACTCTTTTCTAAAGTGCATATGTAATCTGTAACTCTCTTCTCACAAGAAACTTAATGATGGAAAAATATCTTGAGCAGCATGCCTTTAAGACTGAAGAGGAGCCCCAAGCGGTTTAGCTCAGTGGATAGAGTGTCGGCCTGAGGACCCAAGGGTCCCGGGTTCGATTCCGGTCGAGGGCATGTGCCTTTGTTGCAGGCTCCGCCCTGGTCCGGGCCCTGGTCAGGGCTTGTGCAGGAGGCAACCAATCAATGTATTTCTCACATCAATGTTTCTCTCTGTCTTTCCCTCTCTCTTCCACTCTCCCTAAAAGTAAATCAATGGAAAAAATGTCTTTGGGTGAGGATTAACAACAACAAAAATAATAATCCAAACTCCCTGACCAGGCCTGTAAGGCCTTAGTGAGCTGAGCTG